CCTCCGCAGCTCTCTGATGTTTGTGCAAGTTGTCGGGTCTCAGGGGCCCGAAGCGTCAGAGGCGGCAGCAACAGCCACGGGAGCAAGAAAGGCGTGCCTTGCACAGGACGGCAGGAGCTCATGTCGGCATCACGACAGTCGCCGCCAACAGCTCGTTCGAGGGAAGGCGGATGCAAGACGAGCGACCAGTCAATCACCCCCCTCCTCGAGCCCCCTGCCCTCCTCCAATAAATCGCAGGTGCTGAAAAACGAGCTCTTCCGCAGCTGCCACTCCTTCCCTTCTTCTGCTTACTGCCGTGCCGACCTCGCCATCAAGCGCGCCTGGGCTGCGCGACCGACCTTTGCGTTCGCCAAGGCCGCGACCAAAGCAGCCTGGCAGCGGCACTGCCCAGCCAGGACGACAGAGGAGGGGGAGGAGGAGGAGAAGGAGGAGGACTAGGAGGACTAGGAGGAGGAGGAGGAGGAGGAGGAGGAGGAGGAGGAGGAGGAGAGGGAGGGGAGGAGGGGGAGGAGGAGGAGGAGGAGGAGGAGGAGGAGGAGGAAGGGAAGGGAAGAAGAGGAGGAAAGACAAGGAGGAGGAGGAGGAGGAGGAGGAGGAGGAGGGGGTGGGAGGAGGAGGAGGAGGAGGAGGAAGAGGAGGAGGAGGAGGAGGAGGAGGAGGAGGAGGAGGAGGAGGAGGAGGAGGAGGAGGAGAGGGAGGAGGAGGAGGAGGAGGAGGAGATTCTCGCGGAGCTCCGAACAACTATGTGTGTGCAGTCGTTTGCTCCTGTAGATGGGGGAGTAGGGGTAGGAGGCAGACGTGGATCAGGAGGGTGAGTTTGCGGAGGGGAGGAGCTGAATGGGGACGAATAGGAGACGACGACGAGGATGGGGCGGCAGATGTGGTGTAGGAAGTGCAGACCCTCCAGTCCTGGCCATAAGAGGCAGTCATTGGCCTCGCCTGCTTTAGTGCCATCCTCTGCTGTTCCTTCCTATTCCTCCCCCTCCTCCGCCAACGTCTCCCAGTACTTCGCCATCCCACCCAGGAGAAAGCTTTGCATACGTATTCGGTCGAGTTCAAAGCGATAACCCAGCGCAGCAACACAGCCCTTGTAACCCACTTAGTGGGACGAGCAACTTTAGAGTCAGAGGAGGACGGGGAGGAGAAGCATAATGAGGATCAGCAGGAGAATGAGACATCAGGAGATGGAAAAGAGGGACAGGAATGAGAGGAGGCGTAGAAGGAGGTGCCCGGTTAGCCAGGGCGAGCGAGCCAGCGGGCCCGCCCACTCCCAACCCCCCTCGTCATGCTGGCACGGCATGGCACTGGGACAGGAAAGCGCGATGACGCCCAGGGTTCGGAAGACGCTCGCACGCTGCCCCGCTTCCAACGACTCTGCCGAGGGGGGAAGGGCGCGGGCCGCTCGCGGAGGAACCGAAGCGCTGGGCCGAGAGAGTCCACGTGGCCGATCACGTCTTGATCTGCGTGCACTCCGAGGCGCCCGCGCACTACACCTACCTCAAGTTCGGGGCGCGGAACTTCAGAACAGCCGTGCGCGGCGCTGCGTCGAGAGCTCCCCCTCGTAGCCCGTTGCGGGGGCGACGAGCCGCCCGCGCGCGCGCGCGCCGGGCGCGCCGCGCCCAGGGGGCGGGAGCGGCGCACGCTCAAGCTGCGCGGCGCCTAGGCGAGAGCGACGTGCTGGGGAGCGGCCAGGGGGCGCCTTGCCAAAGCGGGAGCTCAATGCTCAGGGAGAACGATCGCGGCTCTGAGGCGAGAGCGACATATATCTCGCCTGCTCGCACGGGGCGGGCGGCCCGTCCCGATCCTGCCGCGCATCCTGCAGCAGCGGCGGCAGATCGCCAGTGCTGGACTTGAGATCGCAGACATGTGTTCAAGGCGGGCGCGTCCCTCTACAGGAGGAATAATCCAGAATAGTAGCAAAATGGTATAATGGCGACGCTTCGTGCACTTAGGGGTATTTGTTTTGTGTGGGGGGGGGCTGTGTTTTATTTTTCTTGCAATATCTGCCTGTACGAGGACATGCGCGACCTAAACCTATGCATTCTGGATTGGTAGGGTGGGACCCCGTGGAGCCGATTGCTTTCTGTTGGCCAGGTGGCCGAGGTGTGTGTGTGTGTGTACATATATACAGATATATGTATAAATAGGTGTGTACAGGGAGGCTGTGGGGAGGAGGGTGGGAGGTGGGCGCAGGGTTGAAGGTGGCGCACGAGGGAAGACGGTTGGAGGGAGGATGACCAGGAAGACGAGGAGTCGGCGGTTACCAGATAAGGCCCTGAGGGATGGGGCCCTAAGGACGAGGGGCATCAAACAATGAGAGTTCGATCTGAGATCGCCTCCTACCCTGAGGGCCTCATCTGTTTGTACTGGCGAAGAGAGGAGGGAGGAAGGAGGAGCAGGATGAGGAGACCAGGAAGCTGCTAGACTCCTTGCTGGTCACCACGGTTCACGGTTCTTCGTTGCGTTTTTTTTTTGTGTGCCGACGCTGACCCCCATCACTATTTAGTGCGTTATTGCGCACATTTGGTCGTTATACAAATCGTTTTGGGAAACGAGACATATTTGCATTGGAGCTCCACTTTTGACATGATGTGCTGGGGAATTACAATTCGCGCGTACCAGCCATCCGTATGGAGCCCGCAACCGACATGGACTAGTGTCTTTGACACTTCGCGTCTCCCGCCAGGCCGTCCTGAAACGTCCTCTCCTCTTCGGCGAGCTACAATCTGAAGGGAAGTAGAGGACCATCAGTGCAGCAACCAAAGAAAGACCATCGGGTCGAGGAGAGGGCGGGGGAGCGAGTTGAATGGGGTGGTGGAGGGTGGAAGGGGTTGGAAAGGGGGGCGGACGGAGAGCATGGGAGGGGGGGGGGGCGAGGGAAAAGGTGAGGGAGTGCGGGGTCGGATATGTGGGGGGGGGCGGTAGGGCAGGCGGAGGGGGGGGGGGAATCGCACGTGATGGGATGCTACAGAGCCCATGGAACAGGGCACGGCGCGGAGAGGGGTCAGGCTTCCGGAAGGCAGCTGCAAGCTCCTGCCACGTCCGCCCGCCCGCCCAGCACACACGCAGTATTTCCCAAGCCTCGGCGCAGGCAGCGGCTGCCAAACCGTGCGCAGTTACTCTCGGTTCACACTGGCGGGCGGCAGGTGCTCCGGGCATGCTATGTGCGCCAAGGTCGCGAAGCGCCACGTGCGCCGCGTGCTCCACGCGCACTCGCGGGTGCCACGCGGGGTGCCCCGGGTGCGGAAGGTTTGCGATGTGCGCACGGTGCTGCAGACAGCGCGCGCGCGTCCGCTGCGCCAGGCGCGCACGTGCTCGCCGGGTGCGCCACGTGAGCCAGCGCGCGCGGCGCCACACAGGGGAAGCTGCGCCAACCTCCCGCGGCCCGTGTCAGAAAGCAGAGCGACGTGGTGACGGGTTGGCTGGGAGAGTGTCTCGTGTGCCCCTTTGGCGGCCCCTCGGGGGGGGTCCCTTCGGTACAGTCGGGGCCCTGAAGAAGGAACCCTTTTCGTTGGGGAGGGGCTCCGTGTTCCTTAATTGTTTCACAGCTTGCCTGAGGTTTTCCTTATGTTTTCGATTGGACATCGAAGTTTAACTTATGGAAAAAAGGGGCCTCGTTCCTTATTTAGGGTTCCTTAGGTCAACGCCCCGACTGTACCTCCTTGGGTGCCCCTTGATTGAGTGCCCCCTCTCGGGGTGCACCGCGGGTGCTCTTCCGAGGCCCAGTTCGGGCAGCCCCACTTTTGCTATTTCTTCTTTCGGCCATTGACGGCGGGCTGGCACGCGCAGGGCAGTATTGGGCCCCACCACCACCACTGTCCAAAACCAGCGCAAAGTGGTGGTGGGGTGCCAGAAGATTTCCCGGTGTGTGCCGCCGTGTATGCTTGTTTTTTTTCCGATGGGTCCTCATTGACTCTGGTCAGCGGCCACAGGAGTGGGGGAAGGGATGCTTCTTCAGCAGAACCAGAGAGACCTCCTCGCAGGGAAAGCACAGAGGTTATGGTGGAAGAGCTGATCCTTAAATCCGGTTGCGGCCAATGGGGGATGGTGGACGCGCTTATCATTCGCAACTTGATGCGCCGTGGCCAACTGATCTCTCTGCCTGGATGTTGCAACTTGGACGCCCAAGGGCTTCTTGCACAATCGCAGTCAGCCCGCACAGTACGAAGGAGCAACTCTCCAAGGCCGCCCTTGCATCCTTTCCCTCAGGCCCGTCCTTGGCCGCTTTCGCTGGCCGCGCCCCGCTCGCAAAGTGCCGACGTGGCCTTCCAAGGCCCTTGGTATCCTTGCCTCCGTCATCGCCTGCCCCGGCGGTGTCGGAGAGCTGGCTTCATGTCCGCACGCTATGGGGGCAGTGTCCGGGCAGGCGAGAGAAGCCTGGGGTTCGCTGGGTAGGATTGAGCGGGCTGACAAGATCGGGATCCCGCAAAAGAGGGGGGGGGGGCCCTGGATGTGTGTATGTGTGTGTGTGTGTGTGAGCTCGATTGGGTTTTGCACCGAACCGCCCAAACAGATGCCCCCCAGCCGCCGGCAGCTCCCGATAGTTGCTGATAGGTGGGGCATGCGGGGGGCATCTGTTTGCGGCAGTCCCGTGCACCAGCGGATCGAATACATACCCCCCCTCAGGGTCATCCTTTTTTGGTGGATCCCGACAAGAGGGGGGTGATGACATGGGAGGGCGAGACATGTCGCTGCGCCGTCTGTTCCGGCGTGCGGCCTTACGTCTTGGGGAGGGCGCCTGGGCCACAAGAGCAAACTCCGCCTCGGGCGCAGGACTCGCCGTGGGTTTTGCCGCGGTGCCGGCTTCGTCTGCCGGGGCGCGTCGAGAATCAACGGTGCGGCGACATACCATGGCCAGGGCCGTGGTCTCTCCCCAGATGTCGTGCCCCCCCTCTTCTTGCTCCAATGCGTCCCTTGGTCCCGCTTCGGCCGCGCGCGTGCTTCGGGCGACGACTCGCGATTTGACGCCCCCCTCTTGGACGCACCTGGTGGAGGGGAGGCCCGGGCTCTGCGATGGATCTCAGGCTGCGCGGCCCCAAAGGCCAGTCGACACTGCGAGGCAGCCCTCTGCAGCAGCGTGGCCGGAAAGAGCACGGTGGCGGCGGCGACGACGAAGAGAAGGTTGCGACAGCGGCGGCCATGGCGGCCACGGCGGCGACATCGACGTGGCCGTCATTATCGTTGTGGTCTTCGTCGTCGAATGCCGCGCAACAGTAGCACGCCTGCTTGCTCACAGAGTGGCAGAGGAGCAGCAGGGCGCTCGCATAGTGGCATCGCTCAGAGGAGAGAAGCGCGACGCAGCCTTCCACGAGAAGGGGGCTGCGACCACTTGAGAATCACCGAATATCCCCGCGGATCCAACCGAGGCTGGGATGTCGAACGCCCCCGCGGGGATCTCGCTTGGCTTCAAACATCCGGGATGCAGAAATCTGCCACGCAGGCGTAGGGTCCGCATGCGGTTGCCTACGGGCACGACTGGGAGAGGAGGGCAGGGGCCATGGTCGGAGCGAGACGGGGAAGCGCCGGAGGTGAGAAGCGAGGAGGTGGCATCGAGGATGAGGGTTCCCGGAGGCTTCCGGGGGGCCTCCCAACGCCTCCGAGCGGGGACCTCCTTGGAGCCCCGTGGAGGCCGCCCGGCGTGCCGAGCCATGAAGAGGGTGCTCATAGGAGCCGCACCCCCCCCCAAGGCGGGCTCCGCAGCTTCACGGCTTCTGCCTGGAGCGAGCTCAGGGGGGCCCTGACCCTTCGGACGTAAGTCAAAATTCGAGGGAGAGTTTGAACGTGAGTTTGCAAGTCAGAATTTGAGGGAACATTTGAGGGAGAGTTCTGTCTAGAGTGAGTTCAGGGGGGCCCTGACTCTTCGGAGGTAGGTCAACATTCGAGGGAGAGTCTGAATTTTGGGGGTTGGGGGAGCTCGAGCTGCACTGGAGTGCCGTGTAGGGGGGTGGGTGGGCAGGACCCAGGTTGGCCCCCAGGAGCAGGGGGTGGTGGGTCGGAGGCGGCTCGTCCAGAAGGGTTGTGACCCCCGCCCCCCTTGCCATGAGATTTTGGGCACCTGCACACCTGCCCTAGGATGCCTCTGGGCGTGATCCCTGGCCCGCGGCTTCCGATGCTCCACGAGTACACGTTGTTCGTTTCTAATGATTCGAAAGTTCTTTGATGTTCTTGGGGGGCAAGATCCTTTCATTTCTAATTCTTCTATCCTGGGCCTCTTCCCAGCCACTAGGGGGCCAGAAAGAATTAGAAACGAGCACAATCAGAAATGAGCACACTTAGAAATGAACGACGTGTTCGTGCACAGGGTCCAGCTTGAATGAGGAACACTTGCTTTTCAAAAGGGGCTAGGTCGTTCCTTTGGTCTGCATGCGTTCCGCTACCTTTTCGGCGGCGAGCCCCCCTGGTGTTCCTTCGGACTTCCTAGACTTACTTGGAAAAATGGGGGCTTCGTTCCTTATTTATCGTTCCTTAGGTCAGGCCGAATGCTGTACAACACGTGATTGCTGGGATCGTTGTTCTAGGCCTCTTAGATGGGGTCCGAGCAGATGGGGTCGGAGGATCGCGCCGCATCGCCGATACATCAACGATGCGGCTCGATGTGGAGCCCGATGTTCCCCACGCCGACGTCGCGGATGCGTTGCCGATGCCGCGCGATCCTTCGACCCCATTCGGACCCCGTCCAGGAGGCTCAATTATCTGCACCGCGGTGCTACCGAGCGCGCCGCGTCAGGCGTAGATGCGTCCGTGCAGCTCCGCGGCTTCCTCGACGAGGCCCGGGGGGGCCTCCTCGCCGCTCTGCCCGGACGCCCTGGCGTCGATCGAGCCTCTCGGCGGCGGGCAGGCCTTCTCAGAAGGCCCGTAGACGCGCTAACGGCGATGCAGGTAACGGCGATGTAGGTTTCGGTATTGTGGGAACGCGCGGCTCGTGCTTCCCTACAATTCGCTGTGTCGTTTTCGTTCGATACATCCGCAGATCGGAAATGTAGGAACGTGAGGTTCGTGATTTCCTTCAGTTCGGTTTCCAACATCACCGTTGAGCAACATCGCCATTAGCGTGGCCTTGGAAGGCGGCAGGGCTTCGGAGACGGCTCAGGCCACTTCTCGGAAGGCGCGAGGGCTTCTGAGAAGCCCGGCCGCCTTCTGAGGCGGCCCGCCTCTGTCACTTCCCCCTGGGCGCGCCGTTGAACCTGGCCGGGGGGCCGCCACGGAAGGACTCAAGACAGAAGCCCAGTCCCCGGGGACAGCATCGGGACCTCTGGGGGTCCACGATTTGAAGAAGTTGCGAAGTCAGGGTCTGGGTCTCTCTTGTCTCGCGCGGCCTCAGCGCGTTCACCGTGTTTTCTCTTTCCCGGGTAGTGGCCGTTACCCGGGGGGGGAGGGGGGAGAGGGCGGGAGGGTAACGGTAACGGCGGCCGCGGCGTGCGCCCGCCAGGGTGCGTCCGCGCCACCGGCGCATCAATCGCTTGTGCACACGACAATGCCCAATGCCTGCGTGCAACGCAGTGCCACCTGTGTACACATCACAGTGCCTCCGTACTCCACAACAGCCGCGTGCACTACACCACGTCGCCAATGCACACCGCAGTGCCTGTGTATGCTGTATAAACCGTTGTTTATAATAGGGTTATAGAGACAACCATTGTTTATCGTAGGATTATTGAATCGCTTCGCTCATTCCGCCGGCCCATACAGTCTCATGTCTGCCGTTTGCCCGAGGGCCTGGTGTCAATGCGGCGCTTTGGGGGTTCCTGGGGCCGCTTGGGGGACTCCTGGGGCGCTCGAGGGGGCATTTGGGGGGCCTCCTGGGGCCGCTTGGGGGACTCTTGGGGGCCTCCTGAGGGCCTCGTGGGGGCCTCTTGGGGCCTCTTAGGGGCCTCTTGGGGCCTCGTAGGGGCTTCTTAGGGCCGAGGGCTCGAAATGTTGTTTCGTGTTCCCTCTCTGGGGCCCCTTTGGGGGCGTTCTTGGGGCCCTCTTGGACCGTCTTGGAGGCTTCTTGGGCCGTCTTCGAGCCCTCTTGGGCCATCTTGGGGCCCTCTTGGGGGCCTCTTGGGCCCTCTTGGGGCGATCTTGGGGGCCTCTTGGGCCGTCTTGGGGCGTCGGGAAGCCGAAAAGGTGGAAGCTCCAAAATCTTTCAAAAACCTAAGGAAAAGCAATGAATTTTGCCTCCGGGGGCCCTCTTGGGAGTGCTCTTGGAGGCCTCTTGGGGCGTCTGGGGGCTATCTTGGGCGTCTTGGAGCGATCTTGTGGCATGTCGGACCCCTCGTGTACCATCTTGGGGGCCTCTTGGGGGCCTCTTGGCCTTTCTTGGGGCTCTCGGGGACGTCTCGGAGCCCTGTTGGTGCGCTCATGGGGCGCTCTGGTGACTTCGCCCGGGGATCAGCCGGTAGTCGCCCGGGGTACTTTTCGTCCGGGGACCCCCAGGGGCCGCCCCGCGCGCGCGAACTAGAGAATTGTTAACCAGTTACCGGAGATCTTAGCACGCCTCTGGCCCGTTGGGCCGGCGAATTAAAAGAAGCCCTATGAAAATGGAGCGCCTCTGGATTCCACAGAACCCAATTTTCATTCAGAATTTGAAAGGACTCGCGATGGAAAGCGGATCGCCTCTGGGCTCCGCAGAAAACTTTTGCTTGATAAAGGAATCCCTCTGGAAACTGGGGCGCCTCTGGATTCCGCAGAGAACGAACGTTTTACATACACGCTTTGAAGGAATCCTCATGGAAATCGGAGCGCCTGAGGATTCTACACGCGTGCACCACAACGCCTGCGCACACCACAGCGCCTGTGTACACCACAGCAGCCGCGTGCAGCGCAGCGTCGGTGCACACCACAGTGCCTCTGTGCACCACAGCGCCTGCGTACACCACAGCGCCTGTGTACACCGCAGCAGCCGCGTGCAGCGCAGCGCCGGTGTGCACCACGGCAGCCTGAGTAAACCAAGGCGCCTGCGCACGCCACAGCGCCCGCGGGAGACGGCGTGGGGCCGCCCAGTCTTCATCTTCTCCACGGCGCTGCGTCTACAATCAAGACGTGCAGTAAGGACAGGACGCAAGACCCTTGGAAGCCGAAGTTGGGAAATTTTGTTGCAGAAGCTGGCCCATGAAAGCGGCAAAGGACAGGTCGCAGAGGCCGGGACACAGGGATGCCCTGGAGAAGGGGCGCGTCCTTCTAGGCGCGTTGGCTGTATCGTACTGCAACCGAGCACCGGCCAGAAATAAGAGAGAGCCACCGCATCTTGCACTTATGGAAGAGTGGTCGAACCAGCCTGCGGTAGCTGAGCCATCGCCAGCTGCATTGAACGACGACGACGACGACGACGACGACGACGACGACGACGACGACGACGACGACGACGACGACGACGACGACGACGACGACTGCGAGCGCCACAACACGTTTGCGAGCACCAATGCGTGCCGTTCAGACCACGCCATGCCTGTGAGCACAGCAGCATACCTGCGGGGGGTCCGCTCCCAGCATGTAGGGGGGGGGGGGGGGCGGGGCAGGCCCCTCTGCCCCACAGCACGATCGTTGGCGTTACACGGAGGGGGGAGGGTTGGCCCTGGTGACGAGCGTCACGCTGGAGAGGAAACAAAACACGCCCACCTGCTTTCGCCTGCGCCGCATGCAGCACGCCCCTGCGCTGCCCCTTGTTGGCGGCCAGCGTGCTGCTGGTAGCGCCTGCAAAGATCATTATGATTCACCGTACCCTGCCACGGATGAGGGGAGACCGAGCTGTGTGCCATTCCGCTTGTTCGGAGGTCGTCGACAGATGCAGCGTTGGGCTCGGGGGTCTTGCTGTGCTCCAGGGCCGAGGTAACTCATTGCGAGGATGCGCAGTGGCAGGCAGCGCAGACCGCTCGGAACCTCATGCGGGCGCTCGCGTAGCAGGGTGCTTCGGACGGTCTTGCTCACAGCCTCACATCCTGCTCAGGACAGTATGTCTTGACCCTGAATGTGTCTGCACGTCTCATGTTTGCTCTCGCTGGGTACTCCGTGGACATTGACGCAGTGCTCTCTGCCCGTGCCATGATTTATGTCAGCAAGCACGTCTTCTGCGCACCTACTTGGCCACCGGTGCCCAGGTCGCTGCGTCGACAGGCACTTGATGGTGGGGTGCAGCGTGCAGATCTCGACTTGCTTGTGCTTGCTGCTCCCCCCCCTTGCCCCTCCGACCCCATACCCCGTCCCTTCCCTCTGTCCCTCTTGCCCCCGCCCCCCGCCCTCTGCCCCTCCACCCTTTCTTTCCTCTGCCGTCCCGTCTCAGGTCCTAGCGAGGAGAGCAGCTTTAAAGTGCAAAGTATGGCCCAGGCTCGCTCGAAAGAGACATAATAGCCCTTTGACGCCAACAGCTCCGCTGTGAATGAAGATGTCGGCTATGTCATGGAAATACCCTTGTCTCGCCATGAGTACAACCTGTGAGCCACAATTTGTTCTTATTGTGCATCCAAAACCCATGCTGCAGCGGCACATGTTCCAACGCGCATTGGATCGGCGGGGTGGGAGCCTCCTCTTCCCAATAATGTTGCGTATCCATGGTCACGTCGACGAGGTGGTCGGCGATCTCATTGGAGTCGCAGCTGCGCCACAAGACCGCGTCTCGGTGCGACAGCGTAGGTAGCATCCCCCAAAAAACAATAAGCCATGCTCCGGGTCAGCCGTCTGAAACCAGGTTGCAAAGACGTGTTGGTGAGCGGGGCAGACGCCCATAGCCATTTGCACCACATGCTTGCAATCGCATGCGATGACAAATCTGCGGCGTGAGCTCTCTCCTGCAAACTGTTCAATCACAACGTCGCCGTTCGTATAGTCGTCCAGGGCATCGGGCATCGTGTGGAAGATTCTTCCCGCGTTTCGTATTCCCGCGTCCTGCAGAACATATTTTCCCTCCGCCACTTCTGGTCCTAGGCTGGGCAACCCGGACTTCTCGCAGTCGTCTGCCGCAAGGAACCCGAATTGGCGCATCGAATGCGCTTGCGTCGGAGAAACGTCGCGTCTTCTGCGCCACTGGACGCTCCGAAGATCATAGAATATGTCCCCCCAGTGCGCGCATGAGCCAGCACAGGCATGCAGCGAGTGTTGCGTCTTGCGGCGGTTGCGGTCATGTCCACGTCATCGTGGTTTGAATGCCGCAGAAACGGTTACCCAATTGTCGAACATTGGCTAATTGTTTAAAGCTAGAGAAGGGGTACAACAACTCTCTCCGTTGCGTGTTCGTGCGCAGGTCACAAGATTTTGACGTGCAGTAGGGATGCGTGAGAGTTCCATCGAGTGGCGCCAGGTAGTCGTGCTCTTCTCGAGATAGTTGGTCTCGAAACCGAGGGAGAGAAGGGTGACGGGAGGAGGCGAGGAGGGAAGAGGAGGAGGAAGAGGAGGGAGGAGGGAGGAGGGAGGAGGGAGGAGGGAGGAGGGAGGAGGGAGGAGGGAGGAGGGAGGAGGGAGGAGGAGGAGGAGGAGGAGGAGGAGGAGGAGGAGGAGGAGGAGGAGGAGGAGGAGGAGAAGGACGCGGAGATCTGCTGTCCCATGACTTGAGTGGGAGTGTTTCAGGCCTTGGTTCTCTGTAAACTGCTGGCTGTGCCCCTGCCTGGCCCATCGGCTTTCCCTCCTGCCTGGTCTCCCCTGCCTCTGTCCTTCCTGTCCTCCTGCTGCTGGAGTCTGTTGGCTGGTTGCAGGGTCGCTGTGACTGCCTTGCCACGGTGTCATCACAAACGCCTCCTCCTCCTCCTCCTCCTCCTCCTCCTCCTCTTCCTCCTCCTCCTCCTCCTCCTCCTCCACCCTCCTCCCTCCTCCTCTCCCCTTCTCCTCCTCCTCCTTTTCCTTCTCCTCCTTTTCCTCCTCCTCCTCCTGAGAACCCGCGGCCCGACGCTGTGCCTCTTCCTCCTCCTCCTCCTCCTCCTCCTCCTCCTCCCCGATCCATCCTCCACACTCTCACCGCATCCTTTCTCCCCCCGTAGCTTTTCCTCCCTAGCCCTCCGTTGCTTTCCCTCCTGCCTGTCTGCCCTGCTTTTGTCCTTCCTGTCCTCGTGCTGCTGGGGTCTGCTTGCTGGTTGCAGGGTAGGGTCGAGGCGTGGGGTCGGGGTTTAGGGTCGAAGGTCGAAGGTTGAGGTTTAGAGTCGAGGTTTAGGGTCGAGGCTTAGGGTCGAGGCTTAGGGTCGAGGCTCAGGGTCGAGGCGGGTCGAAGCTCGAGGCGAAGGTCGAGGCTTAGGGTCGAAGGTCGAAGTTTGGGGTCGAGGGCCGAGGGCCGAGGTTGAGTGTCGCGGTGGCCGCCTGGCCACCGTGGCAGTGCTCGACGTACTAGTACGGGTCGGCACTTGTGGCATCGGGTTGCCTCGTGGTGCGCGAAGTGAGTAAACTGGGGATGCTTTCTACGCTGCGCCGCTGCCCTTCTCCACGAGGCTGCTGTCTTCGGGGTCCTCTCTCGCTTCGGGAGGGCTGTCCCGCGGCGGGGCTGCGGCCGTGCGAGCGCCGTGCCACTCCCAGCTTTTCTCTTGGGGTGGGTCCCTTCGACGCGCGCTCGCCTGGGCCTCCTCAGCTGCGCTGCTCGAGATACTTGATGATCTAATGCGACGTGCACTGGTGGACCTGAAGAGGCGTCTCTTCCGTCTTGCGGCGTCACGTGGGAAGCTCCCGCGGAAAGTTCCAGTCGCAGATGTTCTCAAGTCGGGCAATGTTTATGCTGACGAACGCGAGCAACTGGAATTGAAGATAGCCGACGTCGAGGCCCTCTGCCTCAGGCTTGCATCTTGCTGCGGAACGAACCGGGTCGTCGAACACGCTGGAATGTTTCCGAATTAGTGCAGACGCCCTGCGCAATCGATGTCCCAATAGGGGTGGGCGTGCTGCCAACGCACGACAGCTTGGCCCCCAACACGTCCATCTCCTGCACCTGTGCGAAGACGCTGTCGTCTTCCCCGAACGCGCTCAGGATTTGAATGTCTAGCCCTCGCAAGGGCCCACGTAACAGGCACTGTAAAGACGATGCCGTCCACTCGAAACCAGAATCGTAGATCGCCTGCGTCAAGCGGCCACCATGTTGTCGAACTCTGGGGACGTCTTTCGGCAACTAGAAGTATGTCCTCCGTTTGGACAAGATGAGTCATTGGCGCCGCGTCTTCGCACCGAAAACCCAGCGTTTCTGATGACCCTTTCGAACCCAGAGGTTTCATAAGACAATCGACCGTCAGTTGAAACAGATCAGGCGCTTCAGCCCCGGCTTGCTTGCCTCCTACCAACATGTCGGAAAGCTATGGTGCCTCGGGCGGCATGAAAGAGCCTTGCCTCAACTCAGCGCGGACCAATTTAGTGCGCGCCTTCCCCCCTGCCTCCCATGGCCTACCCTCGGCGGCGAGCGGCGGGGGGATGTGAGAAAGGGTAGGCCTTCCCAGGAGGAGGAGGAGAAGGAGGAGGAGGAGGAGGAGGAGGAGGAGGAGGAGAAACAAGGGGAGGAGGAGGAGGATGAGGAGGAGGAGGAGGAGGAGGAGGAGGAGGAGGAAGAGGAGGAGGAGGAGGAGGAGGAGGAGGAGCAGGACGAGGAGTTGGAGGGAGGAGGGTGTGAAGAGGGTGCGGGGAGGGTGGTTCGGATGCCCCCCAGGCCTTCTGAGAAGTTTCCCCTCGAGGCGCGGGAGGCCTCACAGCCAGGCCGGAGGCCTCCCGACAAGTTCCGCCGCCTCCTGATGAGGCCTTCTCCTTCTCACTTCCCCCCCTCGCTCGCCGCCGATACACACTGTTCATGTCTAAGTATTCGAAGTTTCCTTCGTTTTGGGGGGGCCAAGACCTTTTCGTTTCTACTTGTTCCATCCTGGGCCTCTTCCTGGCCACTTTGGGGGCCAGGAGCAATCAGAAACGAGCAGAACTAGAAATGAGCACGATTAGACATGAAAAGCGTGTACCCTAGACATGAAAAGCATGAAAAGGAGGAGGAGGAGGAGGAGGAGGAGGAGGAGGAGGAGGAGGAGGAGGAGGAGCAGTAGGGGGGAGGCAGGATCCAGGGCGAGGGAGGACGGTGGAGGGAGGACGGTGGTTGGCGGCCGAGGGCCCGTCGATCGGGCCAGCGCCCCCGGCCAGGCGTCTCCGCGGCCTGCCTGCAGCTGCTGGCGGGCTTCCCGCCTCGGCCCCTGGAGCTGCCCGGGGACCTCGCCGCGCCGCTCTCGCCGCGGCCTCGGGCGGCTCGCCTCCAAGGCCTGGAGGAGGAGGGAGGGAGGGAGGGAGGGAGGGAGGGAGGGAGGAGGGAGGGAGGGAGGGAGGGAGGGAGGGAGGGAGGAGGAGGAGGAGGAGGAGGAGGAGGAGGAGGAGGAGGAGGAGGGGAGGGAGGAGGAGGAGGAGGAGGAGGAGGAGGAGGAGGAGGAGGAGGAGGAGGAGGAGGAGATGGAGGAGGAGGAGGAACAGGAGGAACAGGAGGAGGAGGAGGGGGAGGAGGAACAGGAGGAAGAGGAGGAGGAGGATGAGGAGGAGGAGATCTAGACCTCCAATAAGGGGTCCGAGCAGATGGGGTCGGCGGATCGCGCCGCATCGTCAATGCATCGGCGATGCGGCATGGTGCGCCGCCCGATTTTCTCCACGCTGGCGTGGCCGACGCATCGCCGATGTCGCCGGAGCATCGGCGATGCGGCGTGATCCTCCGACCCCACCCACTCGGACCCCATCTAGGAGGCCTCTAGGAGAGCACTGGGGGGCGGGAGCCCCGGGGGGCGGAGGCGGAGAATCATGTGGAGCATGCGAGGCGTTCCACAGAGGGCCTCGCCTCCGAAGGTCGAAGGATTGTATTCTTCGGCGGAATGCGGCGGAAGGGAAACGAGGCCGCCTCCGCAGGCGGAAGGCCCGCTGAAGCCGGCGGAAGCACAAATCGAACTCCCGAGAGATGACATGTGGAGCACGTGAAATGCACACGCGGGGCATTCTCGGAGGAGGAAAAAGTACCTACACCGCTACCCGTCTCTCGTTTTCGCCTGTTTGGGCCTCCTGGGAGGCCTTTGTAGCCATCGCTTGATTCGCCTCGAAATCCTGGTCAGAACGCACCCTGGGAGAGGTCCAGGGAGTAGCGGTATGGGTACCTCTTGGTTTCCCACATCTACACCGAATTCAACAAGCTTGTCAAGGAACGCTGCGGTGACCTCGTCGCCGATGACTTGCTGCCCAGACGAGGCGGCATGGTACGTAGGGTGTCGGGCCCCAGGGATGGTGGAGAAAGGAGGGCACGAGATGCAGGAGAGGGGACTGCGGAGAGGAGGGAGGGGGACTGCGGAGAGAGGACTGCGTGATTGCAGGGGCGGGGAACAGGGGAATGAGCCCGTGGAGGAGGAGGAGGAGGAGGAGGACGAGTGCAAACCCAAGACTCATCATCATCATCACCACCATCATCATCATCATCATCATCATCAGCAGCAGCAGCATCACCATCAGTATCAGTATCAGTATCATCATCATCATCATCATCATCATCATCATCATCATCATCATCATCATCATCATCATCATCATCAGTATCATCATCATCATCATCATCATCATCATCATCATCATCATCATCATCATCATCATCACCCCCATCATCATCATCATCATCATCATCATAATCATCATCATCATCATCATCATCATCATCATCATCATCATCATCTACATCATCATCATCATCGGAGGAGGAGGAGGAGGAGGAGCAGGAAGAGGAGGTGGGGGGAGGAGAAGGAGCGGAGGAGCGGGGGGTGGCTGGCAAGGGAACTGAGTGGGGCAGGGGGTGGAGGAGGAGGAGGAGGAGGAGGAGGAGGAGGACGAGCAGGTGGAGGAGGAGTGCAAGGAAGCATCAGGATTACGAGGAGCGGGCAAGGGCCAGTCCTCGCCTGTCTGCCTCCCTCCCCTCCTCTGACTCGTCCTCCCTTCCCCCCCCCCCCCCCTTCCATACAGCCCTCCCTTTCATCCAGCCCTCCATCCTTCCCTCCTCCCTCCCTCCCCGATCCCTCCCTCTCTCTTTCTCTCTCTCTCTCCTTCCTTGAGAGGAGAATTTGATGTCACGTTTGTCTCGATTCGAGAGGGCCTTTCGGGCGTAGCCATCGTTTTTCGAGGCAGTAAAAGGCGTAGTGCTTCAACTTGGAATCAATGCAAGCATCGCGCAAGCTTTGTCGGTAGGTGCCATGACAGATGGCAGGTGATACTGATGGTGATCATAGTAACAATATTAAGAACTACCGATGATGATAACGATGCTGATGCAGACGCATATGATGGTGCTGTTTATGCCGATGGCGACGATGATACTGGTGACTGCGATGATGACGATAGTGATGGTGATGACGATGCTGATGGTGATGACGATGATGATGATGATGATGATGATGATGATGATGGTGATGATGATGATGATGATGATGATGATGATGATGATGATGATGATCAGGATCATGCTGATGGTGATGCTTGTACCGATGAAGACGATCACGATGATGATGATGAAGAAGATGATGATGATAATGATGACGATGTTGGAGGTGGTACTGATGATGATCGCTACTGTTATCATATATGATGGTGGTGGTGATGAGGGTGCCGATGAGGATGGTGATGCTGACGAGGCGGACGTTGATAATGATTATGACTCTGATGGCGATGATGTGGGCGAACACGAGGATGGTGATTATGATGAGGATGGCGATGCTGATGCTGATTATGATGATGATGGTGATGATGAGGTTGATGATGACGATGGCTATTACGCTGATGGTGGCGACGACGGTGATGCTGGTGGTAATGCTGATGTCGATAGGTGCTGGTGGTGGTAATGATGATGATGCTGACGATGATGATGGTGCTGCTGCTGCTGATCATGATGCTGATGATGATGATCGTAATGGTGCTGGTGATGGTGACTTCGGTGATGCTGTTGTTGTTGATGATGATGATGATGATGGTGGTGATGGTCAGGGTGATGGTGATGGCGACGGCGACGACGACGATGATGCTGATGATACTTCTGATGACGATTGCGCCGGCGTTTGTGGTGGCGATGGTGATGATGACCATGCTGGCGATGGTGATGGTAATGGTGATGGTGGTGACGATGATGATGTTGATGATGATGATGCTGATGATGATGATGCTGAAACGTATAAGGCTTACGACGAATCTGATGATGATGGTGGTGATGATGATGATGAACATGATGATGATGCTGATGATGATGAGGATGCTACTGCTGATGCTGATGCTGATGCTGATGCTGATGCTGATGCTGATGCTGAGGTTGCTGATGTTGATGCTGATGCTGCTGCTGATGGCAATGATGATGATGCTGACAATACCAATTCGGAGGAAGATGAGGAGGAGGTGCTTGAGGAGGAGAAGGAGGAGGAGGAGGAGGAGAAGGGGAGGAGATGGAGGAGGAGTTGGTGGAGGAGAAGAGGGAGGAGTGGCGGGAAGAGGAGGGGGATAACCATATGGGCGTATACGATATAGTATGATAACGTTGGTGGTGCTGTTGATGATGAGGAGGATGACACTCGAAAAGGCATTGGGAGTTGATAAGAGGGATGGGGGAGGAGGGATGTGTATAAACAGGCCGGCGGAATCTGGATGATCAGCGATGAGGGATGAGGGATGAATGAGTAACGAGCAGAACCGGTGGACGACTAAGGTTGGAGGAACGAGAAAACGAGAACAATTCGGGGAGGCGGCCGGAAGATGATTGAGGAAGGAGGCGGAAAGAGAGAGAGAGAGAGAGAGAAAAAAAAACAAATAAGAGGAGGGCCGCATGAACAGGGAGGACAAGAGTAGTGTGGGGGGAAAGAGGTAGATGGTAGGAGGAGGGTTGAGATCGGAGAGACGGGCGAGGAGGGGGGAACGAGGGAGGGAAGGCGGAGTAAGGGAAGGAGGAGGAGCAGCAGCAGCAGCAGCGGCGACGTTGGCACCACCGTGCGCGGCGGTGGCGGCGTCGGCGGTGGAAGGCGGGGGCCCCTGGTCGAGGCTCACGGCGTTGCTGCAGCCGCCGCTGCCGCGGCTCCAGCGCCCAGTGCCCTCGCTGCTCATCCCGACCCTTGGGCTACCGCCCTCGACTCCCCTCCCCCTTCCTCCCCTCCCCCGCCGCACCTCACCCTCCTTCCCCTCCACCCTCTCCCTGCTCCTCCCTGCCCTCCCCTCCTCCCCTCTCTCGTCCTCCTCCTTCTCCCCTCACCAGTCGCCGCACCACGACCCCGACGATTTCGTGCCCCAGGACTGGCCAGGGATGGGTCCCCTCCCCTTCCTCCGACTTGTTGCACGTGTTTCAACCTTCCCGCCAAGTCCGCCAGTTCCTCATCCCCCTCTTTCTGTGTGTGAGCTCCACCCTCTCTTCCTCGCTTTAGCGCCGCGCACTTTCGTTCGAGGAGTGACTAGCACCTCTAATGATAGAGGCTGGTCCATGATCAGAAAAACTTGGGGGTACGCTCCACCTGCTTTTCCCACTCCTCCTCTTCACCCTCCTCCCTCCTCCTCTCCCTTCCGTCTCCCCTCCTCCTTCCCTCTCGCCCTGTCCCGCCTCCTCCCTTCTCCCCCCCTTCTCCTTCTCTCCTCCTCCTCCATTCCTTTTTCCTTATGGCTAACGTCTCCCCGTCGCATCCCGAGGCAAGTTTTTTGGGCGGGCCAGGCGTCTCGCCTGAGTTGTCCTCACCATGTATGACCGTGAAGCCTCAAAAACGGCAACAGCTTCGCAGACGGAGGGCGGGTCGTTTTCAACATGTGGCTCTCGCCTTAGCGCCGCGCACCTTCGTTGTCAACAGTTGCAAGAGTTTCACGGATTGAAGGCGGATCGTTTCCAAAGTGTGGCTCTCGCCTCAGCGCCGCGCACACTCGTATTGAAACATGGCAAGAGCTTCACGGATTGAGGGCGGTTCCTTTTCAACATGCGGTTCTCGCCTTAGCTCTGCGCACATTCGTTTTGAATGTTGCAAGAGTTTTCACGGGCTCCCAGGATCAGCGTACCAGAAGTTGTGTTATGTAAGGATTCAGGATGATGAGGGTGCAACAGTAACATTGTATTGCTTCGCGGTGTCGAAGTCCCAGGAATGGCGTTCTGGCACGACTCAGGGCCGCCAAGACGCAACAGTCAAATTGATCCGTGGCGTTGACATCCCGAGAACAATTGTTTGACATGATCCAGGGTCTTCAAACGGTTGTCTTCCAACGAGGCAGTTCCCTCAATATGAACCGTCGTGTCGGGCCTATGAAGCGGGAGCTTGGAGGGATGGTTTATCACCTCCCCTCCTCTCCCCTCCTCTCCTCCGCCTGGAGGGATGGAGGGGGCCTCTGACTCCTGGGTTTACATCGGTCCTCCTCCTCCTCCTCCTCCTCCTCCAATTCCCCCTCCAATTCCCCCTCCTCCAATTCCCCCTCCCCTCCCCCTCCTCCCCTCCGCTTGGAGGGATGGAGGGGGCCTCTGACTCTTGGGTTTACAGCGGTCCTCCTCCCTCCTCCTCTCCTCCTCCTCCTCCTCCTCCTCCCATTCCCCCCTCCCCTCCCCCTCCCCTTCCTGCCCCCCCCCGCCCCGCGCAGCTCGCATCCTGCGTTTTTCCCCCCTCGCCTCCCGTGCGCGAGCGCACGGGGCCGCGCGCGCCTCGGGCGGCGTGCCCCCGAGGTCCCTCGGGCTGCGCAGCGGCGACACGCTCATAGCCCGGGAGGCGGTCCCGCATCGGCTGGAAGAGGGAGAGAGAGGGAGAGAGAAAGAGAGAGAGAGAGAGAGAGATCGGGGCTCAAGAGAGGGGGGTCAATGCAAACGGGGGTCAGAGCGCCGGGTCTCGCAGGATTCATGAAATGCCAGCGGCGCACTGACCCCGGGTTTAAGGCGCAGGATCCTGCAGGATCCTGCAGGATGTTGCGGGATCCTGCAAGGCCTGACTGACCCGGGTCTGGATTGACCCAGGTCAGAAGATCCCCGCAGAGAGACAGAGAGAGAGGGAGGGAGGGAGGAGGGAGGAGGACGAGGAGGAGGAAGAGGAGGAGCTTGCCACTCTTCGGTCCCTCGCCGACCTCGTGTTGCCGCTTGCCGTGGCTGGTCACGGCACCCTTGATTGTGCATGCTGTTTCGGGGGTTTTCTGCAGACTTCGCCCAGTGGGGGAGGATGGGGCCGATGATGAGGAGGAGGGGCAACTGCAGAACAGGATGAGGAGGAGGAGGAGGAGGAGGAGGAAAACATTGACCAGGTGTTTGCCTCAGAGCACGCGGCAGGAACTTGCCAGGAGCAGCAGCAGCAGGATGTGGAGCAGGAGTGGCGATCACAGAGATGGTCAGGGGCAACCATTGGGGGGGGAATAGGCCCCGGGCTGGGATGCATCGACCCCCAGTCGCCCACTCGTCGCCGATAGGAGCCTGATGGCCCAACCCGCAAAGTAGCGTGCGGATCCGCTATCGAGGGCCAATCGCCGATCTATCGGCGATGTACTGCCGATTCCAGGTCGATATCGACCTGGGATCGGCAATACATCGCCGCTTCCAGGGGATGTCGACCTGGAAACGGCAAATAGGGGAGGACGCACCGATCGATGCATCCTCCCCTCTTTGCCGTCCCCTCCGATGGCTCTCGGCCTCGGCGAGACGGAGCCTTTCTTGGAGGCATCCCGAGGCGGGAAGACCGCTGAGAGCCAATGAGAGCACCCGAAAGCCTCGAAGCCCGAGGTCCCCCCCTCCGAGCCTCAGCCACGCGCGGAGGGGGGTCGGGGGTGGGGGGGGAAGCCTTCTCAGAAGCACCCCCTGCTTCTTAGTAGGCGCGGGCCTTACATCTATGGGTGTGAGGCCGGCGCCTGCTGAGGAGCAGCCTCCTTCCAAGAAGCCCTCCCCCCTCCCTCCACCCCCTTTGTGCGCGCCGCCAGGAGCCAGCCCCTCCCCCCTTTCGCTGCCCCGCAGATGAGGCGTTCCAAGAAGGGCTTTGCCTTCGAGGATCGAAGGGGATGCCATCTCTTCCTCGGCGGAAGGTCGGCGGAAGTAAAACGAGGCCGCCTCCGCCGGCGGAAGCCGACGGAAGCTCGGCGGAGGGCGGCGGAAGTAAAGGTTGTCCGCCCAAGTGGTGACAACGTTTCTGGGTTCAGGGTGTCCGGAATCGGACACGCTTCCCCCCCTGAGCCTCCCCCCCATGTCTCGGGGTGACCCAACAGGGGGTCCAGCTGAAAGGGGGTGGTGCAATAGATTTTGGTAAATTGTATTGCTCACGTAGTGCGCCGGAGAATTGTATTGCAGTGTACTTCAAGTCATGTATTGCACGCGAAAATCCAGCAGTACATCTGCGCCCCGGAAGGTATTGCACGCCCCCCAATGTTTTGCAACCCCACAAACCTATTGCACCAAGTATATTGCACCACCCTCTTGTCGCTAGACCCCCTATTGTTTTGGGTCAACCCGAATGTCGCTGCCCCTCAGATGGTCGCGAGGGCACTCTGCCCAGTATCGCGCCGCGGTCCGCCGCCGTCGCCGGTGGCGCGCCTCGCCGACCTTTTTGTTGTTGTTTGTCCTCTGCGTGCGCCTGCTCTGCTCCCCGGGGGCTTCCCGCGCTTCCGCACGGCGGAGCGCTGCGGCAGACGTAGGAACAGAGAGGGAGAGAGAGATAGTTGTTGGGTTAAGTCGGGCCTGTCCCTCTACATGATGGATATTCAACATAGTCAAAAGATAGCCTGGGGACGATGTTCGACTATGTTTGATCACTTTGGGGCATGTTCAGGCTATTTTTTCAGTTTCGTCCAGAATCTGCCTGTAGGGGGACACGCCCAGCTTAATTGTTGGGCGATGGACAGGGCTCATTTCGATTCCCCCGATTAGAACCGAGTCGATTTCGACGGCTTCCGCTTCCGATCCGATGCGACTTCGGATTCCGATCCGTGCTCCGATGCCCTGAAGGAGGCCTGCTAGCCTGCCGATCGCCGCCGATTCGACTGTTCCCAACTCGGCTGCCGGTTTCTCCGCCAGTCCGATCGATTTCGATCGCCGATCCGACTTGTCGATTCGGTTCTGCGCTCTCCTGGGGGGGGCGCATTAATATATCTGGATCTGCGGTCGGGAACTCTGGCTCCGCGTGTCGCGCCGCCGGTCTTGGCCCACACGCCGCGGCGCGAGACGCTGTTCACGTCCCCGGCCCCGAGGCGTCACCATCCCGAGCCTTTCTCGGCCTCCCGCCCTGCGGAGCGGAGCGACATGCTATCCGCTTACAGGGTATAGCGTGTCGCCGGGGCCGCCGCCGCGGCACGCTGAGCAAGGTTGCCGTCGGTAGAGATGGCAATGCACATTGAAGTAGCGGTCGATGGAGATGTGCTCACGCAGATGCTGCGCGCAGTCATAGCACAACGTGGGCACCAGTGGCGCGCGTAGACTTGTGTAAGCAGATCGGCACGTCCGAGGCAGACTCCGAGGTAGAGGGGGCGATATCGATCTGGACAGGGATCGATACATCATACAGACGTATACATCTACGGGCATCCATGTCACGATCTAGCAAGCATAGATGCACAATCGTATATAGAGGCGAGTAATTAGCACACATGCTGTTCCCAGTATCTCTTTTGGACCACTCCTGTATGATGTTCCAGTCGAGACCTTTTCCTTTGCAGTGTCGAGGTGGAGCCAGCAGGTGCCACCGGCGTCCTGGTGCGGCGAGTGGTGGACTCGAACAATTCGTGCCTCTTTGAAGCCACTGGGTGCCCTGGTCTGTTTCCCGAGGCCGCCACTTGTCGGGCTGAGAGGCGGACGAGATGAAAGGAAGGGCGGACGTAGATGTTGGTCCGAACGGGCGCGGCGCGGCGCTCTACACGTCGCTTACTGAAGCACTTGTATGGGAGCCTATTGCGTGTTGCATCCAGATTCGCAATTTAACGTAGCGTATCGCATGCTCTCGTCTACGTAGCGTATCGTTACCTCAGAAAGATGTTGTCGAAAGGCTCCTTATTCCCTTCTTGCCGTTTTCCTTCCGAAGCCAAACGCGCCCCTCACTCTCCTTAACGGCTTTCGCTGGTCACGGCCACTGCCCCGCTGGTGCGCAGGGTGACGAGGCCTGTGCCGCGCCCAGGATCATGAGCTGACATCTAGCACTCATACCTATGCCACCCCTAGACATCTCGGGGTGGAATCCGGGGATGGGGACTATGGGCGCGCGTTCTCGAACGGGAGACTCCCTCGGGGTCCGACAACCCGCACCCACATCTACAGCGGCTTCCTCCTTGCCCTTGCCCACCTCTCCATCTCCCTCTGGGCTCGAGGGCTTGAGCGCATATTGTTTTTTTCACTTCGGAGGGGGGGGCCTGAGGCTCGTCCCCAGAGGAGGAGGAGGAGGAGGAGGAGGAGGAGGAGGAGGATGACGTCCTCACTCGGGGCCAGCTCGGGCCCCGGGGCAACGCAGCTACGTGGAAAAAGCTACAGCACCGACCCGTGCGAGGGGTCGAGACGTCCAGGGGCCTGCGTCACGAGAAAAATCGTGGCACTGGATAATGAAGGGGCATCCGAGGAGGGGGAGGTGGAGGAGGAGGATGAGGAGGGGGAGGAGGAGCGGGAGGAGCAGGAGGAGGAGGAGGAGGAGGAAGAGGAGGAGGAGGCGGAGGAGGAGGAGGAGGCGGAGGAGGAGGAGGAGGCGGAGGAGGAGGAGGCGGAGGAGGAGACGATTCACTCTGATGTCGAGCGACTGGGAGGCGTTGACATAGGCGCTTTTGCAGACGATGCCACAGGCAGGTCGCGCTTGCCTCTCCCGGCGGCCTCCCTGCCGCCAGGTGTGAACTGGAGCGGATGGGGCCCAGAGAATATGATGGGGAATCCGCCTGCCGCGTGCGTGTTCTGTTACATTTGACAGCCGACATCATGCTTGTCGGCCATGCGCTCACAGTTTGACACGTGGTGGACAGTCTGGCGTGTACCACATATCATGTTTCCAGCACCACGCCACATAGGGCCAATCTGTATGACCATTCCCAAACATAGTTTCATCGACTACTGTACGTTTGAGCTCGAAGTTTAGCCTGAGTTTGCCTGGTTGGGATCATCTAAGATGAGTCCGAATATATACAGCGGTTGCAGCGCATAACGCAGGACCAGGAATCGTTGTGTATCAGTCTTCGTCGTGAGCAGGAAGCAGGAATCACTTAGGACATATCCATCTGTTTGCACAGCTCTTCTTCTGCGCAACATCTTTCCGCGCTTCGATGCGGCAATTGAGCCCCAGGTACGTTATACACAGAAGCCGGGGCCACGCGAAGGACTCGAGCAGGTTAAGAGTTATATTTTTCTGGGGCAGCGTGCGATTTCCGTCATTGTGGCCGTGGCGCTTGTGCGACCTTCCCTTCACCATGCTTGCGTATGCCATTGGGCTGCTGTTCCGAGCCAAGCTTGCGCCAACGAGTCCTCAAACTCATGTCTTGCCACGTGTTTGTCGAATTATGGGGCGCGTCTGACCATTGTGGGAGCACATCCGACGTGCAGGCGCGATCGCACTTCTGATGACGATATTTCTTGGCGGTCTGGATTTGATGGGCTTGGCTTGTACTTTATCATGTGGGTGAGCCGTCCACCCCTTATGAGGGAGGAAGGGGAGGACAAGAGGGAAGTGGGTGGGTGTCGCGCCATCGCATGCGGCTTATTTGTTCTCTCCTCGCCTGTCGCTTCATTATCGAAGGCGCCTGCGGCGAGTCACTGCCGCCCCCTGCCTTTAGGAATCGCCCGTGTGGCCGAACGTTGTGGCCAGAGCTCTGCCAGACTATCCGACCATGTGTTCCCCCAGCCGTTGTGGAAACCCTTCGGGGAATTTGCGGGAGAGAAATAAGGAGCGGAGGAGAGGGAGGACAAATAGGGAGGAGGAGGAGGAGGAGGAGGAGGAGGAGGAGGAGGAGGAGGAGAGGAGGAGGAGGCGGAGGCGGAAGAGGAGGAAGAGGAGGCGGAGGAGGCTGAGGAGGAGCAGGAAGAGGAGGACTCTCTTAGGGCGCTTCAGGGCCGTCTAGGAGGCCACCATCGGCATCTTGGAGGCTTCTTGGGATGTCTTGGGGCCCTTTTGGGGCCGTCTTGGGGCTTCTTGGGCCGTCATGTGGCCATCTTGGAGGACTTTGGAGCCACCTTGGGGCGATCTTGGGGCCCTCTTGGGCCGTCGGAAGGCCGAAAAGAAGCAAATGCCAGATGGGCTGTCTTGGAGGCCTCTTGGGGGCCTCTTGGGCTGTCGTGGGTCGTCTTGGAGGCCTCTTGGGCGGACTTGGAGGCATGTCGGACCCTCTTGGGCCGTCTCGTAGGCCATCTTGGACCTTCTTGGGCGAACCTGGAAGCTATCTTGCACTCTTTGAGGCTATTTTGAGCCGTCTTGGGAGATTTTTTCCAGACGTTGAGATGCTTGCCGGTCCTTTCCGGGTGGCCGGCGGGATCGGCCACCCTGGAAAAGAACCAAAACCAAAACGTAGTTGCAGGATTCAGCACGCCAGGCACCCCTGTAGCAAGCCAACAGGGGGCGGCGGATCCAGTTTTAAGTCGGGCCTGTCCTTCTACAGGAGGAAAATTCAAAAATAGTGAAAAAATAGTCTGGGACGATTTTGGAGCGTTTTTCCCCACATCCTAAGTGGGGTTCTTGTTTTCTCTGCACACCCTCCGCGCAGGATCTCTCGTCTTCCTCCCTCTCCTCTGCTCCTCTTTGCTTCCTCCTCCGCATCATCATCACCATCACCATCACTCCCCACTCATCATCATCATCACCATCAGCATCACCATCACCATCGCGCGATCACTCACCATCATCGGCATCGAACGATCATCATCATCATCATCATCATCATCATCATCATCACTATTCGCTGACTCACCACTTCGTCCCCATCATCATCACCACCATTTACCATCAGAATCGCACGATCACTCACCATCAGCACTCATCATCACCACCATCATCATCATCACGTCGTCATCATCACCACCACCACCACCATCATCATCATCATCATCATCATCATCATCATCATCATCAAACATATATTATCATCAAACACCGTCGTCATCATCCCATCACCATCATCCACCAAGAGGGAGCCTCGTCTGTGAGTGAATTGAGGAAGTCTCAGGCGGGAGCCCCCTCCCTATGGGGCCCGCAGATCATGTTACTAATCCGAGCGGGTCATCGGATTCCTGTAACCGTCGTCACTTTTGGGCTCCTCAGGTTTGAATTGGGAAGAAGTATCAAGCGGGACCCTCGTCTGTGAATGAGTTGCGAGGAAGTCTCAGGCGGGAGCCCCCCCCCTATGGGGCCCGCAAATCATGTTATTAATCCGAGCGGGTCATCGGATTCCTGTAACTGTCGTCACTTTTGGGCTCCTCAGGTCTGAATTTGGAAGAAGTATCAGGCGGGAGCCTCGTTTGTCAGTGAATTGCGAGCAAGTCTCAGGCGGGAGCCCCCCTCCCTATGGGGCCCGCAGATCATGTTATTAATCCGAGCGGGTCATCGGATTCTTGTAACTGTCGTCACTTTTGGGCTCCTCAGGTTTGAATTTGGAGGAAGTATCAAGCGGGAGCCTCGTCTGTGAGTGAATTGTAAAGATGCGTCAGGCGGGAGCCCCCTCCCTATGGGGCCCGCAGATCATGTTATTAATCCGAGCGGGTCATCGGATTCCTTTAACTGTCGTCACTTTTGGGCTCCTCAGGTCTGAATTTGGAGGAAGTATCAAGCGGGAGCCTCGTCTGTGAGTGAATTGCGAGGAAGTCTCAGGCGGGAGCCCCCTCCCTATGGGGCCCGCAGATCATGTTATTAATCCGAGCGGGTCATCGGATTCTTGTAACTGTCGTCACTTTTGGGCTCCTCAGGTCTGAATTTGGAAGAAGTATCAGGCGGGAGCCTCGTTTGTCAGTGAGTTGTGAGGAAGTCTCAGGCGGGAGCCCCCTCCTTATGGGGCCCGCAGATCATGTTATTAATCCGAGCGGGTCATCGGATTCATGTAACTGTGTCGCTTGTGGGATCCCCAGCATTGAATTTGGAGGAAGTATCAAGCGGGAACCTCGTCTGTGAATGAGTTGCGAGGAAGTCTCAAGCGGGAGCCCCCTCCCTATGTGGCCCGCAGATCATGTTATTAATCCAAGCGGGTCATCGGATTCATGTAACTGTCGTCACTTTTGGGCTCCTCAGGTCTGAATTTGGAGGAAGTATCAGGCGGGAGCCTCGTTTGTCAGTGAGTTGTGAGGAAGTCTCAGGCGGGAGCCCCCTCCCTATGGGGCCCGCAGATCATGTTATTAATCCGAGCGGGTCATCGGATTCTTGTAACTGTCTTCACTTTTGGGCTCAGGTCTGAATTTGGAGGAAGTATCAGGCGGGAGCCTCGTTTGTCAGTGAGTTGTGAGGAAGTCTCAGGCGGGAGCCCCTTCCCTATGGGGCCCGCAGATCATGTTACTAATCCGAGCGGGTCATCGGATTCATGTAACTGTCGTCACTTTTGGGCTCCTCAGGTCTGAATTTGGAGGAAGTATCAAGCGGGACCCTCGTCTGTGAGTGAATTGTGAGGATGCGTCAGGCGGGAGCCCCCTCCCTATGGGGCCCGCAGATCATGTTACTAATCC